GATAGTGCTGTGCCAATTTTAGGGTACCTGCATGCGAATAACACTAAGGTAAGATAAATTACCCGTATTCTTACATTTTCCAGAATTTTTCAGTGTTAAGTGGTTGTATTTGGGGCCTGGAACGGATTAATTCTATATGATCTAATGCTATATCGAGCGAGGTTCTGGAATCGTTCGTTATAACGCCTACCATATATATATATATATATATATATATATATATATATATATATATATATATATATATATATATATATATATATATACAGTACTCTCTTTATCAACGGATTTTATCGATTTAGATTATCACGGATTATTTAGCTGGATGGCGTGACTAGCGTCTACCATGACCCGCCTTCCTGAACACAAACATCAACCAAGCTGGCGTGGGCAACAGTCTTTGATTTCAACTTTTGCTGGTGGTTCATCATCAATTTATATCACCATGCCTCCCCAAACGACCTGCTGCTCCCTCTGGATCTACACCTAAGAGGGCAAGGCAGTCTTTGGCGCTGAATAGGAAAGAATGAAGTGCTGAAACAACTAAACAGCGGTATGAGCTATGCAGCTGTTGGCCGCCACTTTTGGGCTCAAACGAATCCCGGTGTCGCGTGGAATTAACGGCCGTGCAAAGTTCACAAATGCGCTTTTTAGCTTCAAGTGCACCAAAGTGACATCAAAAGTGACAAGCCATATGCGTTGATGATGCCCTCATTAAAATGGAAAAAAGCACTGAACATTTGGATAGAGGACCTAAACGCCGCCGCATGCCACTTGACTCGAAATTTATTAGGCAGAAAGAAGCTAAGGAACTTTATGATAAAGTTTCTAAAGGTGATGATCATGGTGTTGGTGATGTGGTGATGATCAGGGTGATGGTGATAATCAGGGTGATGGTGACAATTTGAAAAAATTTGCAGCTAGCAAGGATGGTTAAAGAAATTCAGACATAGATTATGGGCTGCATAATATAAAGTGACTGGCGAAGCAGCATCAGCGAACACTGTGGCAGGGAAGCATACCCTGCAGAGTTGCTTAACCACATAGCACAAAAGGGTTATAGGCGGAACAAGTTTTTAATGCTGATGAGACAGGCCTATGGTGGAAAAGATACCCGCATATTTCCCATCCTCCAAGAGAAAAAGTGCCCTGGTTTAAAATTTGCGAAGGACGGCGGTGACAGTGATGCTATGTGGGAATCTTGACGGGGCATATGATTAAGCCCATGTTATACACTGCACATGACCTCCGGGAACTCCTCCAAGCAAAACATAGAACTTGCTACCAAGTTTTCTACAGGGAACAACAAAAGCGTGGATGACATCCTGATTTACAATAAATTGGATTGGCTGAAAAAACTGCTTTGCTAGAAGGTGAAGTATCTGGATGAACTTGGCATGAGTTCAAAGTGGTATTATATGTGAATGGTGCCCTGGCCACTCCTGAAGAACTCAGACTACCCTGGCAATGAGGTGGTTTTCCTGCCAAAAACACCACCTCCATCATCCAGCCAATGGACCAGGGGAGTCATTGTCGTGTTTAAAGGCTAAATATGCAGAAGACTTTTCAGCATATTCGTAAGGTCATGATAAGGATGCTGATGTGACACCCAGAAATGTGGAAGAAATTTGATATTGCACAGTGCATAAACTATAAGCTGAAAGCCACAATGAACTGTCATGAGCATGTCCGATCATGTTGGAAAAAAATTGTGGCCTGAAATTGTCCCAACGCATTCACAGAGTTCCCAACAGCCGAGCCTCAGTTACGTAACATAATAACTATAGCAAAAATGAAGTTGGAGGTGAAGGGGTTCTCTGATGACCTAACAGCTGACAGAGGTGCATGAAGTTATTGAGGAAATGTTGGGGATCCATTTACCATTGTTAGACTAGAACAATTAGTGGAGCTGCAGGATGGAAACAGAAGATGAAGTGAGTGATGATGAAAATAAGAACTTAACTTTAGATAATCTTGGTGAAATAATAAGAATGGTAAAAGGCCCTCTCTGCTTTCGTCTCTATGACATTGATCCCTCCCGTGGGTCCCTTAAAGCAAAGAGCTAATGAAAATGTTATGTTGCCATATATTGAACTGCAGAGGAAATGAGAAGCAAGAAAGCACAGACCACCATCACCAACTTCTTCTGATGCCGAGTGCCTGTCATCGCCAGACAGAAGCCTCACAACAACAACAAGGCGTAGAAGCTGCCGGCACCTCACAGCAACAAGGCCGCAGTACCTGCCCACACCCTCAGAAGATGTGACCTTGACTAATCATACTCATCTGATGACTGGTCCGGGCTTTTAATAAGCCTCAATCATCACACTTGTATATACTGTATATTGTGCTGTATTGTTTACCAGGACCGATGTTCACTTCAATAAA